GTGAGGAAGAGCGGGTCGAACGGACCGAGTTGCGGCGACTCCGGTCGCTCCAGAAGCGTCTCCGCTCCGGCCCGTTCCCCTCGGTTTGCGCCATGGACCTTTCTGGGTCTGATGACGGAGACGATTCCGTCTCCGGTGACGACTCCGGCCTGCCTGATCTGACGCCGGACTCCGACGACGACGATGACGATGGTCAGCTTGAAGATGGTGACCGCATCTTCTACACCTCGTTCCGCCCATCGGAGGAGATACGCGCTGGCAGTACTGTCTCGCAACGCCTGGCCGAAGCCTTCGCCAGGAACTCCGCCCCTCCGCCCTCCGAGATCCCGGACTGGGCTAAGGAGTTCCAGGACGTCTTCAACAAGGAGTCCTTCGACACGCTACCGGAGCGGAGAGCCTGGGACCACGCCATTGAACTCGTCCCCCGACGCTAAGCCCACCAACTGCAAGGTGTACCCCATCTCGCCCCTCGAGCAACGCGAGCTCGACGCGTTCATCGAGGAAGGGCTTTCGACCGGCCGGATTCGCCCCTCCAAGTCTCCGATGGCGTCTCCGGTCTTCTTCGTCAAGAAGAAGGACGGCGGACTCCGCTTTGTCCAAGACTACCGTGCTCTCAACGCGATGACTGTCAAAAACCGGTACCCCCTTCCGCTGATCAACGACCTCATCAACCGGCTCAAAGGCGCTCGTTACTTCACCAATCTCGACGTCCGTTGGGGCTTCAACAACGTCCGGATCAAGGAAGGTGACGAGTGGAAAGCGGCTTTCCGGACTAACCGAGGCCTGTTCGAGCCCTTGGTGATGTATTTCGGCCTGACAAACTCTCCCGCGACGTTCCAAACGATGATGAATGACATTTTCCAGGACCTCATCCTCTCCGGAGACGTCATGATCTACCTTGACGACATCCTGATCGCCCATTCCGACCTCCGGAAACACCGGCAGATCGTTCAGGAGGTCTTGCGGCGACTCCGAGAGCACAAGTTGTACCTCCGAGCGGAGAAGTGCGACTTTGAAAAATCGTCAATCGAGTACCTCGGAGTCATCATCTCCCACAACCACGTCGAAATGGACCCCGTCAAAGTCGCAGGCGTCTCCGCTTGGCCGACTCCGGAAAACAAGAAGGACATTCAGCAGTTCCTTGGGTTCGCTAATTTCTACCGCAGGTTCATTCGGGACTTCTCGACCCTCGCGCCCTCTCTTCGTGCTCACCAAGAAGGACCAGCAGTGGACTTGGGGCGACGCGGAGACCTCCGCGTTCCAAGCGATCAAGGACGCAGTCACCTCGGAACCGGTCCTGGCGATTCCGGACGACGCACGGCCTTTCCGACTTGAGGCGGACAGCTCTGATTATGCGACGGGGCGGTTCTTTCACAATCCGCCCCGGACGGGAAGTGGCACCCTGTAGCATTCTATTCCAAAAGCTTAAATGATGTCCAGCGCAACTACGAAATCCACGACAAGGAGATGCTCACGATCATCCGCGCACTCGAGGAGTATAGACACTTCCTCGAGGGCGCCGCGCATCCCGTCGAGATTTGGACTGACCATAAGAATCTGGAGTACTTCAGGAAGACGCAGCACCTCAACCGGAGACAGGCCCGCTGGTCCCTCTACCTCTCCCGGTTCGACTTCACGCTGCACCACAAGCCCGGCCGCGACATGGGCCGACCTGACGCCCTCTCTCGGAGACCAGACCACGGAATCGATTCCGACAACTCCGACGTCGTCCTTCTGCGGCCCGAACTCTTCCATGTCCCGCTCTCGAAGGCGTTTCCGTTTCCGGCCCTGGTTCTGAACTCCTTCGCGACATCCGCGATGCCCTCTCCGGTGAGCCTGACCTGGAGGAGCCCGTCGCACTAGCGGCCCGGCAACTCCTAAAGGTCCAAGGTCAAGCTCGAGGCCCCCGCTCCTCGCGCTCCGACGAGTGGGCTGTCTCCGGTGGTCTTCTTCACTTTCGTGGGAAGATTGTCGTACCTAAGGATAAGGACCTCCGGAGACGCATCATCGAGCTCTGCCACGACACTCAAGTTGCCGGACACGCGGGTCGCTTCAAGACCTTGGAGTTGGTCTCCCGGAACTACTGGTGGCCTCAGATGTCTCGCCATATTGGCCGGTACGTCGCGACCTGTGACTTGTGCTGTCGCACCAAGGCACTCCGGAGATTGCCCCACGGAGAGCTGCACCCCACGGAAACGCCCCCGGAACGCTGGCATACCGTCTCCGTCGACTTCATTGTCGAGCTCCCGAAGCCCATGGGTACGACCGATCATGGTCGTCGTTGACACCCCTCGGAAAGCGCCCACTTCTCGGAGTGTCATACGACGGTCGATGCGGTAGGGGCAGCCCGCCTCTACTACCGGAATGTCTGGCGGCACCATGGGACTCCGGAGAAGTACGTCTCCGACCGCGGCTCGCAGTTCATCGCGGACTTCACCCGAGAACTTTGGCGTCTAATCAGCATCAAGCCAGCCACGTCCACCGCGTACCACCCGCAGACAGACGGTCAAACAGAGCGCGTCAACCAGGAGCTGGAGCAGTACCTGCGGATCTTTACCAACTATCAGCAGGACGACTGGGATGAGCTGATTCCGGCCGCGGAGTTCGCCTACAACAACCACGTTCACTCCTCCACGCAACAAGTCCCCTTCATGACGGACCAGGGACGACTCCGCGCATGGGCTTCGAACCCGGAGTCCGTTCCGCTATGGAGTCCGTGAACGAGTTCCGCGACCGGATTGCCACTGGTGTTGCCGAAGCCAAGGCCGCGCTCACTAAGGCCAAAGAGGAGTACAAGCGCTACTACGACCGGAGACGCACTCCGTCTCCGGAGTTTAAGGTTGGCGACCGTGTTTGGCTGGATGCCTCTGACATCAGAACGACTCGCCCCTCGGAGAAGTTCTCCCACCGCCGCCTCGGACCATTCAAGATAGTCGCGGAGATCAGCAAAGGTGCCTACAAGCTCGACCTCCCTCCGCGCTACTCGAAGCTCCACCCGGTCTTCCCCGTCGTCAAGCTCGAGCTCGCCCAAGACGACCCCTTCGACGGACGCCCCGGCTACGACCAGCCCCCTCCGGACCTCGAGGACGGAGTCCCGGAGTGGGAAGTAGAGGAAATCCTGGACGCAAGGGTGAGGTATAAACGGCTGAATTACCGTCAGATGGAAAGGCTACGACGCGTCGCATGACCAGTGGGTCCGCTTCGACCGCGTCTTCGCCCCGGAGAAAATCGCGGAGTTCTATCGTAAGTACCCTGGCAAACCACGGCACATCGCCTCTGCAACCTTCGACTCGATTCCATTCCGGTCTATGCGTCGGGACGCCGCATTCAAAGGGGGGTGATGTCAGGGGAACCTCCCTTTCGGCCCCTCGGAGACGATTCCGATTCCGGTCCGACTCCGGCTCCGACTCCGGTGATCGCATCACCGCCTCCGTCAGGCGCATCGCCGCCCCCGCCTGGCGATCCCCCTGGGACCTGGCCTGCGACATGGCGCAGGCATACTGCACGGAGCAACGATCAACCTTGGCGCGTCAAGAGCGCAGTATATAGTTCCGCTACCTAGCAGGCGGACCCTTAGAGTTTCTTCTCTTTGGATCCTCCCCTGCTAGGTCAGCCTCACTTGTATTTGCTTACTTCTATTCACTCTTTGGATCCTCCCCTGCTAGGACCTTGATCTCAGGCCTCCCGGGGTTGCCCTTACACACTGAATGAAAGTTGACCATATAGTCAAAATACACAACTTTGATTTTGTGACAATATGTGACATCCTCTGATGATTCCCGTGTTGAGCTATGAAAATTTCCTTTTTGGGAGATTCAGCATACTTATTATTGGTTGTGACCCTGTATAAAAGCATGACACTGTTACTGAAACTACCAGCTTGTCACAGTTCGGGTCGGGCCGCCGGGCCACGAGGCCGCACGGGCCCGACCGGAGGCCGCACGGGCCCGACCGGGCCCGCATACCGACACACTCCTCGACGCTCCCCCATTCCTTCAGCCCCTTCCCTTCACCCCTGCGACCCTACGCAGCGCCCATCCGATCCATCCCTAATACCCTGGTGTATAAAACCCGTACTTACAAGATGTAGTCATTAGGCTAATATCGTCTATTCTCCGGGCGAATACCCATCTTTCGTGCTCCTCAGACCCTCTTGAAGCCGGACCCCCCGACACCCCAATACGGCCCGAGCCCGACGTTGACACAGCTCTAGTGTCTACTATGGAAAAGTTATTTTTTTTTTGGGACATTGAGTCACGAGTCACATAGTGTGACTTCGGGGGACTTGGTCTGGATAACCTGTGTTGTATTATTCACCTTTATTCACCCCCTACCTATTCGACTTAGCAGAAATTTGCCTTAGAGTTCAGAATTATTCACCTTCCTTTTCAGCAATTATTCACCACTTGGGAGTTCCTGCCAGCACTGCGAGTTATCAGTGGCAACCCGCTGGGTTACCACTGATAATGTACAGCTGGTTGCGGGAGCAACAGGTGTAATGGTCAGCGTGAGTTGAAGCATTTGAGGGGATGCTGGTCGGATGTGCTGCAGATGCACTCAGATGGTCCGAAGTGGGGGTTCCCCTGACAATGAGTGTAAAAGCAAGTCACACCTCTATTACATTGCCATCAATGCATTGGCTGTGCCCCTCTCTACATCAGGAAAAAAGTGGATCAATTGTAAGTGCTGTTAAATCAGATAATCATGATCTAGCTTGGTAAGCACTTATAGAGTACCACAAGTGCTTATAGTGCACTCCCCAGACTTTTAGTGACTTATATACCTTCTAAAAGCACTTTAGCTAGGTTATAATATACTCCTAATCATTTTGGAGAGAATATAACTGCAATATCATTCTTTTAATATATCTACAATTGAAATATCATCCTTTTTCTATACTTGTAAGTGTCTAACTTGAATATATATTATTTACAAAGGGTTGCAAGCCTACTGAAAAAACTTGTGATATGTCTGCAGATGATTCCATATTTTGATTTAAATTAAAGTGAAATATCATAGTTATCTGCAGCCTGTGCATCGCCAATGTCCTCCCCATCCTCAGGCCCTAAATCAGGCTCACCAGAGTCAGAGTCAGAGTCAGACTCACTGTCCCACTCTGAGTCTCTGTCAGAACCAGACTGTGCAGCCAAATCCTCCTCCTCCTTCTCCTCTTCAAGGTCTGAGTTGTCCAGCTCTGGTTCCAAGGGCTCATCCTGCCCCAGGACAGACCCCTCTGACTCAGTGTCAGTCAGAATCTCATTAACCTCACCATCAGACCACTCCTCAATCTCCATTTCAGCAGCATCTGGCTCAGGATCTGGAACAAAGACCTGATAGGAATGGCCCACGCCACCACCAAGATAGCGCATCAGCATGTCGCGATCAACAAAGCTATTGATGGGATCAGACCATAGTTGCCTAATTTGGTAATAACTCACAAGTTCACATAGTGGTAGAGCCAGTCTTGTCGACCATTAGGCCGGCCAAGTGATGGGATGTCGGAGTTGTCGATGAGCCCGCGCGCGAAGGCAGGGATAAGATGGGCTTCACGGATGACCTTGTCAGGGTTGACAAAAGCATATGCGGTATCGTCAAGCTCGGGAACAAACTCGAGGCGGTGAAGTCGTCGTCGTTTAAAACCACCGCGCCAAGATTTGTCTAGCCGGAAGCGGCGGACCCAGAGAAAGGTGACAGGAACAGCAGCTGAGACATAGCCACGGAGTTTATGTTGAACGTCACAATGGAAGATGCCAATGACACGGGAGTACTCGAAAGGGTGGTCATCACTGGTGTCCTCGGGCGATAGCGTCATAATATCAGCGTGGGTTCGTGAGTTCATAGAATCTTGTCCTCGACGCACATCGTAAGTCGTAAAGTTGACTCGGAGAATCTTATGAATATAGATGCGGTTGTTGACAATGAACAGGTTGTTGCGGTCATTGGCGGAATATTTGGATCCATCGCTTGAGTAGTCTGGATGCAGTATACGTGCCAGGAGATGATTTTTAAGGTCGTCGGAAGTTCTGTAAAGTTAGATCAGTAAGATCAAAGTGTTCCTGAGAACTGACCTTAATGGCTGGGTCACCAGTATTTTCATCCAGCCAGTTATCCAGAGTGAAATAAAAGTTACGACTTTGGGAAATATGATGAGGGAAATCGGGTGGCGTATACGGAAGAGATTCAGAGTCAGCAAAGCTCAGAGTAGTGCCAGTTGATTTGGCTCGCGCCTTGGCTGTGCCTCGTTTGCGCTTGGATGAAGTGTCAAGAGTTGCGATTGGAGGGGCAGCAGCAGCAGCCTGGACCTTGGTTTGAATGCGTAGTAGCTCAGCCTCACGACGCTCGAGATTAGAGATCTGAGTAACAGCACCATTCTTGCTGGTCCGGCTGTAAAAACCCTTGCCTCGCTTGTGTTCGAGTTCCCCCTGAAGTAGAGTCAGGTCAAGTATTAGAAACTGGTTAAACACGTACTGGTGCGGTCGAATATGAGTCAGTCGTTCCAAAGAAGGGGATTTCCAGTGGGTAGTAACCAATCAGGTGCATTTTGACAGTCGTGAGGTTAAACGCTTTGAACTGTGGGCTGGAATCAACGGTTGATGTCGGGGCCTTCCGTGCAGCCTTCTTGCGGCGGGCAGCCTCCTCCCGAGGAAGCTCCTTTGTGACAAAGTGTTTGCAGGTCGATTTCGCGAAACGGGCGGAGTTGATAGCCCAAGTCCTTTGTTGCCTCTCGGAGTCGCTCCAGTGTCGCATCCGTATGCATACGGCTTGGCTAGCGCATGAAAGTATGCCATACTGAACAACAGGTCTTGGATGACATCATTGTCACCATAGACATCATCGTCCAACAGGCCTTCAAATACAGGCATGGCACACTGGTAGTGATCAGCCACTAGAAGCATGGCCTAAGAGTAACGCACCTGCAATAAGTCCTCGTAGTCCCGGGCAGCAAGACGTTTCATTGCGGATGTGTTGTTCGTAAACCGCCCGAATTGTGTCTCGACCAAAGGCTGGCATCTGTCGATAGCGCCAGTTGAGGCTAGTGATAGCGTCACCAGCGTTGGCAACTAAGATGCGGATCAGATGGACAAAGGTCATTTTCCAGACACCCAGCTCCAGCTCATGCATAAGATCAGGAGCTAGCATCTGGAAGATGTCCCACGTGAAGGTGGACACATTACTGAAAGCATTCTGGAAAGCGGCTAAGTAACATGCCAGATATCAGAAGGCAGCATACCATGACGGGAACGTAGGATTCCGGTCCCAGGATGCGCTTGACAGCAGCTCCATACGGGGCCAGGTTCTTGTCGTATACCTTAGCCCGGGCACGTCGAACAAGGCCACGATGGCGATGGTCATCAACACGGTGGAGTTTGGCTTGTCGTTTATTGTCGTTGACAGTGCCCAGTTGATTGAATTGGTCAGCCGTCAGAAGACACCGTGGGCAGGGACAGCGGCTCAGACTGCATATTGTGGCCAGAAGAACCCTGTCAGTCATCAGTTAGGCTTACTCGTTTGTTGATCTCATACTTCTCGGGATAGTCGGCTGAGTATGTGAAGACGCGGAAGTAGAAGCGCCGCCAGATATTGTCAGGACAGAGAATTTCAATCCCATGCTCGCACGCCTCCATGAACTTGTCGTCGAGGATAAGCCGCCATATGGTGTGGAAAAGTTCCCGCCGACAGTGCGTAAGCATCTCCAAAGTTGGCGCTTCACCTGTTGTTGTCTTGAACCAGTCGAAGAAGTCATCAGCAAGCTGAAGCCGAAATTAGCAGTAACACGACGATGGGAAGCGAACACACCTTTGGCATATAAGCAATGTGATGGCAAGCTCGTGCTCGTGGTTTCCCCCGCACCCACTTTGACTGATTACCAAAGAACAGGTAAATCGGCCAGAGTGCTGCCGTCCCAAAGTTGGCGAGCTGCGTTGAGTCGGACCAGAACATCAGAGCCACTATACAGCGCTCCAATGTGCAGCCTGGCTCCCGTGGGCTACGCTGCAGCTCCTTGTAAGTGCGGATATAGGCATCGGATGAATAGATTTCGTCATAGACGCGCTGCGTTAGCCCATCGGTAACCGGCTGCCACCATTGGCGAAAGGGCGTGTAGTGGAAGAAGCGGGAGCTGGAATCGTGTCACGGTTCGGGTCGGGCCGTCCGGGCCGTAAGGCCGCACGGGCCCGAACGGGCCCCGCACGGGCCCGTATACCGTCGTCCTCCTGGACGCCCCCTCATTCTCCCAACCCCTTCCGTTCACCCCTACGACCCTACGCAGCGCCCATCCGATCCGCCCTGGGACCTGGCACCCATCCGATCCATCCCTAATACCGTAGCGTATAAAAGTCGTACTTACAAGATGTAGTCGCTAGGCTAATATCGTCTATTCTCCGGGCGAATACCCATCTCTCGTGCTCCTCAGACCCTTTCGACGTCGGACCCCCCGACGCCCCGATACGGCCCGAGCCCGACGCTGACAAATCGCTTAGAACAGTCTTCACCGTCTCGGTCAGGCTGCGCAAGCGGAGCCCTTCGATCGTGTACTTGAGCGGACCCTTCATCCCTTTTCGTGGGTCGGGAACGTCTATTTCGACACTTGCAGATTGCCATCCATCCTTGACCTCGCTTTCAGTTCCCCCCGAATCTATCCCTTCCCCCCGGAGATAGTTGTCGAATCGTTTGGTTTGAGCTTTAATGTCGAATGACATAAGATCAGCAACATTGAAGAGCGGGGACTTGAGATAGTCCAGCAAACGCGCACATTCTCCAATGCTCTTCATCGCTGAGCCTGTCCACATCCAGTTCATGAGACCCCAGACTGTGAAGTTGCCAAAAGGCCCATACGATGCTGATTGGCCCACAGCCGCTAAAGCATCTGCAGGCGCGGCCAGCGGTGACAGTCGAGAGTCTCCTGTGGCTGGAAAGGACTCCACGGAGGCGGTCGGGACATCAGATTGATCAGCGAGTGAGGTATTGCCGTCAGGGTTATGAGAGGGAGTGCATGGGTACTCGCGGAAAAGACCAAAGCCATTTCGCGATGTGTTTCTAGCCTCCCACTGAAATGGCACCAACTGATCAGGCTCCTCGAGCTCGTCATCTCGATCGGGCGGAGGTGGCGGAGGTTCGGGCAACTGCGCAAGAATTTTCCATGTTGGGCGTCGATTTCGTACGGGTCGCAAAGGAGATGGTGGAGGGAGTGGAGGATCTGACTCTGGCTCAAGATGTGTTTGTGGGTGGGCCATATCGGTGTCATCAGGTTCCGACATCACAGCAGTGTTGTCGTCGAAGGTTGCAAGAGAGTCAGAGGTAGCAGCGTAGGGGCCACTAGCAGTTGAAGACTATAAATTGATTATAAGCTCCTGCGGTCATGTACAACAAGACAGACCAACCTGAGCAACAAGAATCTCCGCATCTCCTATCGCGACAGTGGTCGCTAGCCCAAGTTCCCGTTTTCGACGTTTCTTCTCTTGATGAGCTCTGAGTGCAGCATCGAGGGAGCTGTCAAAAGCGAGCGAGCTCGAATGACCCATCCGGCTCTGGTGATTTGCTAGCTTCTTCTCGGCTTGCGCATCCTTCGCATCCACCCACCAAAAACATGGACCATCGGGTTGACACTGAAGCTTTGACAACATGAGAAGGGCGACAACGAAAAAGCAGCTCGCGATATGCATGCCCGCAGGTGCAGGCTTGTCGATGGTGGTCGGGTCTGAGATAGATCGAAACAGGGGGAAAGGGGCAGTGAATGAATTTGTCGTCAAATCTACACCAAGGCATATTCTAACATTGGTCCATCGAAGTCTTCATTGTCTTCAGATGTCTCATCCGTCAGATATGTAGAATCGGCAGACGGGAGCTCCGACGGAGAAAGGTGAAACTATGCGGAGTTAATATCGATGAGTGGAGAACAAAACACTTACCCTTTGCGCCCAAATGACAAGATTACGAGCCTAATTCACATCAGCTCATCGAAGACGAAAGGAAAACACAATGACGCACAATCGCAGCATTGGGTAAACACGTCGATAGCAGCCAACAGCGACCAATGGCGAAGTTCCTTGAGACAACCCGGATATGCGTCACCAATGACTTCGAACACCACCAAGGCTTCGGAGAGTTCTCTCGTGGGTCCCATCGTCGAAATATGGCGCGCGGACTGACCGAGCCCGAAATAACGGGCGCTTGAATGCCTCCCAGAGAGAATTGAATCATTTGGAAGTAGACATCCATGCTCTACCAGAAGTTATAGCAAACAACAAGACGGCAGCAGTACTACTCACTGGATTGTACCCCCAGGATATTTCCTGTAGCGCTTGTGTGGTAGAAAGTTCGCGCGAAAAGTCGTAGAGTTTGACCAGCGTATTTGTTGGCTCGGGAGGTAGATACTTGTGGGCTGGCCCGGGGTTGTAGCGCAGTTCTTCGCCTGCTGTTGACAGCGGTGAGCTGCCGCTACCCAGCAGAGTTCTGCCTGAATAGACAGTAGAGAGGCGGGGTTGGATATCATGATGGTTTGGCTGTGTTGTCGTATTAGTAGACGAAGAAAATCAGCAGACGAGACAAAACTGACCGTTGAGGGTTGTACCACCGTGTGGCCGGCCCCGACATCGGTAGCAAAAGATCTAGATTGAGTAGGGGACTCAGTATCCGACTCGTATACTTCCATGGCCCATCGTAGCCGCCAAAATGGGTCGCGAGTTGCCGACGAAGGTCGGGGACATCTGCTTCAGGGACGGGACTTCTTGCGAGCGCTCGTAGGATTCTTGCCTCGAACTCTGGCGAGAGCTCTGGCGAGGCCATAGCTGGCAAAACCTCGGCCAAGCCCGACGGAGGCAAATTTTGCATCAGCACCACATGGGTGGTGCACAATGCCCAGCCCAGAGTGGATCGCTGAGTACCGTTGGCCGTAGAGTTGTGTCGCCCATCGTGCGAGAGATGAAGTCGAGGGGTTGTCTTGTTTGTTGTGGAGTTGAGGACTGGGACTTGTGGCAGAGGGAGGAGGAGCGGCGGAAGAGCGCGCGCCTTATCGATGGCGCGTTATCGATAAGGCGCGCGCAGGTGACTAGAGCAAATGTTTCAGCAGGGAAAATTGTATAAGACGGTGGGACGCACCGGTAGAATGGCCATCGTTCCTTTTGCTCCTTCGCCCATGCCCCCACTGAGTGACCAAACTAACACCATATCCTCCCAGGGCGCCATCCGGCATGTATTGGAGCAGCTGACAGGCTCCAAAGTCGGTGTCAGGACGCGTCGCAGGTGGGTGGTATTTCGCATCGTCGTTGTTACTGACTGAAAGTTGGCAGCGTGCCAGATTCAGATGACCCAGATGATCCGGCACCCAGTGCCGGCACAGCTTCCACGGACCCTGCTTCCGACGGCCATGGCAGCCTGAAGTGGTTTGGGTGCAACGCCGGCCGCAACTTTGGGCCCACTCTCAAACTTCTTCCCTGCTTCAGCCGCCAGCTGGTTCGCCTTGCACGCGACGAAGACGACCCCGCGCCAGTTGAAGACCCCAAGATGTGAGTGGCTAGCTTTTGTGATCAAGCTGACTCTGTACAGTGTCGCGCTCGACAAGCGGGTGTGGGATTACTTCAAAGCACGTATTGCTCACTTTGAGGACGACCAAATCGCCATCGGCGGTGACGGCAACCTCCGCAAGGCATATTGCGCCGAGGTGCGTGGTCATCTCAGTGTAGTTCACAGCTGACAACTCTCCAGTTGCATGCGGGCATGCGGGGTTCACGAGCGGACGATGCTCGTGTCCTCCGTGTCAATATCATCGAGCTACTCAAGATTTTGTACAAAGACGAGGCCGACCGCGAGTCTCTGGCTACGCTAACTCCCAGCATCAAAGTCGACCGCGGCTCACCTGTGGATTCCGCATATCCTCTCTAATTAGAATGACCATTACCCCCCACTGGTCATTCTAATTAGAGAGGATGGCTCTGAAACCCTACGCTGTGATAAATACTCCAATAAAGCTGCTATAAAGTGCATAAATCCCAAGCTCTAAGGTAACTTAGGCTTATTAGTTAGCATAAGACTCGGACTTGAACTGGTATGTGACGTCACAAAGTGGTTTGTTAGTCGTTATACTACAAGTATATCATGCTATGAATGAGGTTGAATAATTGAACCCCTGGTGACTTGTGTTCATTTCAGCGCCTGAGTCACGCTGTTATACAAGGTCACATAGTGTGACAAATTTCCAAAAAAGGAAATTTTCACCATTTGACAGTACAATCATCCGAGAATGTCACAGATCGTCACAAAACCAAAGTTGTATGTTTTGTTTATACGAACAACTTTCATTAAGTAACCTATAGTCACAGGTGAATGGTTATGCCAGAATAAGCCAATCACTTACTGATCTACAACTGATGAGCCTCTATCTCTATAACTACTTGGGGTAAATGCATGATTCAAATACTACTAGGAAGGATTTCAGCAGTACCATACATTGACCAGAATATGTGATCACTATCATACTATATCATCACTGGATTCACTCTTCACTCATAACAAAGGGAATATCTGATACTCCAACCAATGCAGTAGGTAATATATATATTCAGATACTTCGAACTAGACCTCTAGTATTTCAGTTTCAAATCCTAAGTGAATGAGATACTAAGAATGCAATGTATCCACTTATCAGCGGTATTTGATCTCCATCAACCCTGAAAGATAACCATGGATCTCTAGCTAGCCTGGGTGGATAAAGCTGGGAGGGAGCTCATTTGAAAGGTATACCTTTCTGCTATTATCTTCCCTCATCTACCCCCTCATCTGGTCCCACCACATCAATCTATTGACTGCCAAGTATGACTGAATACTGAGTTGAGGAGCATCTTGCTGATATCTTAGGATTACATACATGGAATTTCATGATCCAAGTTAATATAGTGACGTACAACAGTCTACTATAGTCTCACTTCTTTGTGACTAGAAAGCCAATGCTAGGGTCAGTTAATTCATGGAGACATCAGGTACTATATAACCCAGGATGGAGATATGCTAGAGGGGTAGGGGCACCACTTTCTGGGAGGTAGACCATACCCCTACTAGTAGATATACTTAGATTTCTCAGACTTACAAGGGTCATGCCATGGTGAGCTCATCATTTTGGGGATAGATAACACTGATAATAGTACTGTAAGAGATCCAGATTAGCTATGGGGTCGATTTAAATGCTAGACGGGCTCATTTGAAGGTCTATACCATTCTACATTCAAGTCTTGGATCATACTTGAAATTATTTTCTGACCAGTTGTAATAGCGAAGACACTCTCTTTTGCTCTATGTGTACCTACCCTCTATTCAGCTACCTTTAGTGACACATGGCAGAACCACAACTGATTATGGTTCAGGGTCCTAGTAGACATCCAAATATCCTCATACACCCACCTTAAGGTCCAACACTCAGTTTATAGACCTCACTATTCATGTAAACCAGTACTGCATGTGCATATCTTAGAATGTTCACCCCAATTTATCCTCCAAGAATATGCAGAGATTAATCCAAGTATGCTGGTAGGTGTATACACCTCATTTGCCAAGTTTTATATATTTGATCTATAATCAACTACCAGATCATAGCTGTATAGCCAATATGATGTGGAATATGGTTGAGGGCAATATTGGAGAATAACAGCATATTACATGTATATAAGATGGTGTGAGAGATGTCATGTCATCAGAGGACCCCTCTGTATACTTCCTACCTTTAATCCATGAGGGGTCCTTTGTCTCTGAGTGAGTTATTGGGAGATTCACACAATAGGATACATGCCATATATACAAACATACAGGATGTCTAAAAATAGATGGGTTTCTCAGAGTTATGATAGATATTTATTAGTCTATAACACAATTTACATCATGATTATCCATGCATTCCTCACCCAGATATCAAGTCATCAGTGTGCTTGATCAAATTTGAAGCAGAAAAGCTATAGAAAAGGGGTATAAAAGTATATTCTAAAGGTATGAGACCATATTCACATCAGATCATATCAAGACAATATGACTAACTGCCTATTAGTAAAACAATCATCTGAATCTCTGAAGAACTGGTGGAGATATGGCTAGATCAAAATGTGTGATGGATAATCACTGTTAGGTAGTGTTAATACACAAATAAGATTGAATTGATAAGAATATAGACCTTACCATTCAGGTATCCTTAGAAGTCCTTCAATCAGCTGTGTAACCTGTCTAGTTATTAAGATATCATCTCATCAGTTATATATCAGCTAGTGATTGGCTTATGCTGGTATAACCATTCAGCTGTGACTATAGCTTACTTAATGAAAGTTGTTTGTGTAGACAAAATATACAACTTTGGTTTTGTGACGATCTGTGACATTCTCTGATGACTGTACTGTCAAATGGTGAAAATTTCCTTTTTTGGAAATTTGTCACACTATGTGACCTTGTATAACAGCGTGACTCAGGCGCTGAAATGAACACAAGTCACTAGGGGTTCAATTATTCAACATCATTCATAGCATGATATACTTGTAGTATAACGACTAACAAACCACTTTGTGACGTCACATACCAGTTCAAGTCCGAGTCTTATGCTAACTAATAAGCCTAAGTTACCTTAGAGCTTGGGATTTATGCACTTTATAGCAGCTTTATTGGAGTATTTATCACAGCGTAGGGTTTCAGAGCCATCCTCTCTAATTAGAATGACCAGTGGGGGGTAATGGTCATTCTAATTAGAGAGGATATGCGGAATCCACAGGTGCCGCGGCTTTGTCAACGATGTAACAGGACGTCTGTTGTGTCCCGCTAAACTCAGCCCAGACTCTCAGTATGCCCCGGCTAACATCCTGGTTGAGCTAATATTGTCATCAGAGGGATAACGAAATCAGTGGGAGTGGGACTGGTCAAGTCCGCATCACTCCCACTGATCAGGCCCAGTCCCACTGATCAGGCTCGCTTACCATCTGATCAGTGGGATTGATGCCTTTGGCCTTGACACCGCGTGACGCCGGAGATCAAGCAAAGCGCTGCGCAGCAGGCCTCCGCGGCGAGCGGCAGCCCGCGGCAGCGTGGGGTCCGGGGCGAAGCCCTTGGTCGGGGACCGGGGTGGAAAACCCCAACCCAGTGTGGAACCAGATGGTTGAACCCGGGAACGGCGGAAAAGGGGAAGAAGGGGGGGACAATGCTCCGCGCAGCGGGCCCCGCGGCGAGCGAAGCCCCCGGCAGGGTGGGTCCAGGGCAAGGCCCTGGTCGGGGTCCGGGGTGGAAAACCCCGGCCGCCGCCGCCGCAACTGGTAGACCCGCGACAATCCCGTTGATCAGTGGGACTCGTGCATGTGTCACATTTGACTGCACGAATCCCACTGATGGGACATGAATCAGTGGGACTGGGCAGGATCAGTGGGATTGGCCCAGTCCCAGTCCCACTGATTTCGTATACACTCTTGTCATCAGCACCCTCAACAACATCCGCGAAGGCAACACAGACGTTGAAGCCACAGACTTCCCATGGCTCGTTTACCCATTCGAGCACGTTTACGATGCGGGTGACATCGAGGCCGGATTCATGGAGAATCCTTTGCTCTATATGGTATAATTCTCTTCTCATATTTCCAACACCGACAACTTCAAAGGCTGCGCGCGTCATCTACCTAGGATTACAAGCTGCCACAGGCGAGCGACAAGAATCCCGCAGGGGCTGGGAACGCTGCGCTCAACGGAATCACCGCGCTCAACGGCCGCGAGATAGCTTATGTTGCTCTGCAGGTAAGACTCATTCTAGTCATTCATGTCGCAGTTGCTCAGTTTTTTAGGTTCGCTTTGCCCTGTCTTCTGCGGAGAAATGGAGTGCCATGGATGGTCTCTTCGACTACAGAGTGTTTTACACAAACCTCTGCAACATCCTCGACGATCCTGCCAGCCAAGATATCACCGACAAGTTTAATAGGTGTGTTTATTGTCTACTGTAGCATTTTATTCAGTTCGTATGTCACGTGTCACAGTAGCTATAAAATTCGAAATTTTTCGTATGTCACACCATTTTGCTCAAAATCCTCTCCCAAAAAGGCAATTTATGACATTTCCGGGCGCCTCCGGCGCCAAGAGTTTCCTAATTAGGAAATAATTCGAATTGATATTTTCGTATTGAATGTCACACCACTTTTGGCATTCGAATTGAATAAAATACAACAGTATCTATCTATTAGTCTCTAATTTCTCTTGTGTAGTGCCCTGTTTGGCGAACGGCACGTCAGCCCGAGTGCGCCGCCGTGGACGAGAACATTGGACCCAGCGACTACGAGCTGCTGCAGCAGCAGCGTGCGGCCAAACGTGCCCGGTTGGCAGCCGAATCGACGGGTGGGGGTGCCGCAGGGCCGGGGCCGGGGCCGGGGCCGGGAGCAGAAGGAGCAGGGGTGGGGGGCAAGTGCAGGAGCAGGGGCGACAGCGTAAAATAACCTGCGGGATCGTGTTCGAGTGTATGCATGTGTGTGTTACTACAATCAATTTTCTATGTACAAACCCCAAGCTACTAGTGAAAGCAAGCAAAGCAATGACTGATATTATCTGTCCCAGCTCCATATACAAACTACAATATTGCTTGTCCTGTCTACAAGTAGTGTAAGAGTGGAGGTATATTATATGTGCTTTTGAATAGTTATAAACCCGAATATAGATGTTAGTTTACACAAGTATTGTAGATCTCATAAGCATTGCAGTACACTTATAGACCTTGAGGTGGGTTACAAGCACATTTTATTATCTATAATCCAGTTGCCAGTTTACCTGCATTATGGGCAGTTGTATTCACATGTTACAGTTTATATGCAGTGGTAATTACTTCCCGTTTTTCCTGATGTATGATTATTATTATATTAAGAATGCCATCCTGCTCTTACAGGCAGGGACCATAATGCCAAAGTTTCACATCTTTCTCTCTCTCTCTCTTCCTCAACTGAGTGCTTACTAATCATTTCAAATTATCATGCCTCAAGTCCTCACTGCAAAAGAAGTTATAAGGAATCCCCTATTTCAACAGACTAGTTATACTAAGCATGCCATCGTGCTCTCACTGGTAAAGACCATAATGCTAAAGCTTTCCATCTTTTTTTCTCCTCTTCAGTGACGACCAACCCACGGGATGATCTTGCCTCATAACTATCAAGGCTCCATGCCCTTTCCTCTGCTTCAGCTGAAATCTTGCCAAATGGATACTGGTGGGCCATATTGTCAGTCCAACCTTCTTCTGCAGGAGGCCGAATATAATAATCATCCAGATTGCAAACAAGACATGAGCTCCAGTTCTTTGGCCAGTCCTTTGGCCGTTCTTTAACTAGGGAAAGATGAATTTTTAAGGAAGCCTCACAAGTGGGAGTACATACTTCGAGCATTTTGTGCACTATATACCTTCTGTTGACAGATCACACAGCGCTCATGAGTTGCAGGTCGGGCTTCTGCAATCACACTGAGACGGCGAATGTCTGATGAGAGTGATATTTCTTCTCGGTGATATCCAGGACAATGATGAAGTTCAGATCCAGTCAAGATACGCTCATGGTACCAGAATTGAAACATATATGGATATGTTCTATACTCTTGGCCTGACCTGGTTAACTCTTCCAGAACTGAGATCTGGTAAATTAGATATTGCCTAATTGAGTCCATTGTGTGATTTGCAGCAGTTGGCTGCCAATCAATTGTACGTCGCAGTCCTGATCGTGGTAGGATATAGCTGAGAGGCTTGGAAAGATGATAACTAGGTTGCTCATGACGGAAATATGTAACAAAGGATGCAAACTTCCAGGGATGTTTTGCCACTTGATCATCTGTGGTTACATCAGAATCACATGTTGAAAATTTTTCATTACCAAACTCACGATACAGGGCCCTGTTTGCTTCACGAAACACCTGTTATGTTAATTGAAATTGTTCAAAATAACTAGAAGAGGACACACTCTTTGGAGAATATCATCATACAGAAAGACATCGAGCTTACGGCTAGTAATATAAAGTCTTCGCCTGTGCCAGAGCTTATGGAGATCAGTGGCTCCTGTCGTGAGTGCTAATCGAATTGTGCCATGACTATCAATCAGGATATCTATGTTCTGATGGTGTGATAAGTTTTATGTCATCCTACCCTAAATGAACTTACTGCAGGACACAAATCATTTGAGATATAAGGCCTTGTGCTGAAGTAGGCAACTGCAGACTACCACTGTGTTAGATATATCATGATGAAACTGTGTATGAGGTTATAACTACTGCAATATCATGAGCCTGTGGCAGTCAAACAAGGATCTGTGTGTAGATACTAAAGCCCTACCATACGACAGGATAATATCAAAACCTCCATCAGGTCACCGCGGAGGAATGAAGCAACCTTGTGAGCTGCATTCATTCTAATATCTAGTAGTGCAAATGATCAGGTATAAATATAAGAATTGATGGACCTACCACCTTGGTAGACAGCAAATGTGTCCGGAGATCGTTTCGGAGAGGTGCCAATAATTTTTAGATGGTTGGAATGTCTGTGCAGACATTAGGAGAATATCTCAATATAAAAATGCAACGCACAACACTCCCAAGTTGAATTGTACATCGCGGTTCAGTCGCTGTCAAATTGTTAAGCCACGAGGTTCTGCTGTGCCTTGCCCATACCTTGACCGCATCCGGGCCGTCATAAACTCTCACCACACCAGCTCGTCCATCGACCTTCGCCCAATGCAGCCGGGTGCGCTTGCGAACAGTGATTTCCTTTAATAGCTCGACTCTTGACGCGTCCACTTCCTGATGGGCAAGTGTTAACAATACAGCCACGTGAAGTTCCAGAAGGAAGTACCTCGAGGTGGGACTTCTTGTCTACAACAGGTCAGCTATTGTGCCGGGCACGGAAACGAGAATACGTACCAATTTTCGGCTCCCGTGCCCGGACTGAGAAGAAACGGCGATTGTCGACGATCAGCGTGCTGCTGGCTACCGTGACATTAGAACTCTTGGAGAAGAACGAGCCCTTCAGGCCCCAACGGCCGCTCAACGCTAGTTAGCGCAATCCGGCGGCATCCGCACAATCGACGTACAGGAAGGACCGCCGAACGGCGGTTTGAGTTGGACCCTTTGGCTCCGAAGACGTATCGGCGGGATCGCTGGAGGGAGAGGGCATCGCGCAGACGGGTCGATGGGGGAGAGGGCAAAGAATGCGAGGCGGTGCCGGCACGGAGACCAGGTGATACCGCTATGAGAAGTCTCCTGCATCATCGCACGGACAACGAGGCGCGTCCACAAGCACTGCCGTCAGCCGATCTCGTCAAACCTGCTGTGGAGTCGGCCAATCGGCGGAGAGAAGGTTTGCAGGCTGTCAGAAGACGGAGGGACGACGTTTTGTCAGTAGTTGCATATAGCCGCGATATCGCAGTAGTTCACGGTCGAAACACGTCATCGACATGTTGAGCTGCTTAGCCACACTAACGACAGCTGACTGAGCAGACGTCAGCCACTTCCCTGACCTCTCTTTCAATGCGAACCCAGAAGAAGCTCCGACAACACTGGGAAGTTGGAACCCGTCCCGCCGACACGACTCCCTCGCGGAGAGCGACGACGAGGCGTGTCGAGCAAGAGTGACAGCCCAGAGGTCCAGTGGCCATGCGCGGACAGAGCGCGGGGTGGTTCCAGTTAGTGCAGTTGGCGCCGGGGACAGATTCTGAGGGACGCCCGCAGGTGGCGTGGTACGTGAGGAGAGTGTGGTCTGTTGACGACGGGAGGTGGACGAGGAGAGGGGAGTTTGGAGAAGCAGTTCCGACAGCGTCGGCACTGGCCGTCGAGGAAAGAAGCTCGCGGAGCAGACGTGCAACGTGTTCCTTGGGGCGCCACGGCATCTGCTTGGTATTTCGAGACCAGCGCTTCCGGTCGTCCAGCGGGTAAGTATAACGAGAGGTCTTCTCCCTCCGCCGACCGCTCAACCAGAAACATATACCATAGGCAGTGCCTCGTCTCCGTCAGTCGCCACAGCGGGCCCAGGCGCAGCCTGGCGCCAGCGAAAACATGTGGGCAAAGAGAGGAGAAGCGTGCGCCAGCACCGCCTTGTACACGTAAAAGTCGGTCGGCGGGGCGTCGCTAACGCTGCTGCGGAAGACGACGACGGGCTTGGGGAGCGTCCTGAGGCGAAGCAGGGGCGAAACGGTGGGCGGCGTTTGTGGCCATGGGCGGCAACTTGCAAGAGCAAAGATCGCCCGCGTTCCCGCCGCCTTACGTCCTTGACGACCACCACGATGCAGCAAGACGTTCGTGAGGTGGCGGCTGCAGCTGGGCCGTTGCCTCCGCCGATACTTGCCTGGTCGCCGTCCAGCCCCGAGATGGTACCGCTCGGAGAACCACTTCACACTTGACGGCGCTGTTTCGCGGTGGAGCAGAGCTTCCCGAACCAGACCCACTGGCAGCAGGTACAACGAGCCGAAGAGCTCAAGCGCAAGAAGCACATGGCTTTGTCGAGCATGGCTGCGCGAGCGGAGCGGAAACGACAGATAATGCATCCTGGGCCTCGTCCCGCAGAAACGGGCGAAGCGAGGAGCACTGCCTTGGGCACGTCGCTGCTGCGGAGTCGGTGCAGCGTCGCTGGGAGGAGCGGGACGAAGAGGCGGGCGGCGTTTTTGGCCAGAGGAGGTCGTGACACGATTACTCAGCGCCTTATGTCATCTTTTCTGCTTGACGCCGTTGAGGTCCAAGGTCCAAGACGGCCTCCGCCTCGCCGCCGCCGCTCACCTTTCGAATGACGTTCGCGCGGCTCATGTGCTGTCGGTAGCCGGGGACACTCGGGCTGTCCACCCGAGCGCGCGTGTATGGATGAGTTAGCGACTGGTGTGGGTCGAAACGGTGCGTCGCTATTGTCCGAAATAGATGCAAGCTGAGAAATATCAGCCTTTTGACAGTCTTGCCTCAGGAGCGTGAACTGGAAGAGGGGCCGCGTTTGTCCCCGCGATACAGGGGCGCGGCAGAGCGCAACGTGCGCATGCGTGGAACTGGACGCGAGCGCCGCGAATGGGGCCGCAGCACGCCGCACGTGCGCAGCCAGCGCCGACACAGGAGGAGGAGGAGGAGGATGGAGAGCATAGTGGGCCCCGGGCGTGTGTGGGGTCAGAGCAACCGGCAGGCAGCGTGCGCCCGCCCACATGCGTCGAATAAGAAAAAACTGGCGGAAGAAACATCAGCACACGGGTGATTGCGAAGACGCATGCTCGCACCGTCAGATGGTCGTGTTGTGCATATGACGCTGTCTTGGTAGCCGTGAAGGACCAGCGGAGCAGGAAGAGGAAACGCCCAGGGACGATACGATACACGTGTCAACGCGGGGGGAGCTGTGTTACTAGGATGTTGCTGCGAATCCGCGGAGGGAGGGGACAGGACGCTGTGGTGGTTGATGAAACCTGGCCCACCAACAATCGTTGGTGTCGAAGGGTGTTGCAGTGTGTGCGGTCAGAGCTTGGGCAGGGCCAAGATGAACTGGCGGCAGCCGTAACAGATGATTTCGTCACCTTCGGCCGATTCAGGTCCGAAGAGCACCCGCGTCGTCACGGTAACAAATGATTTCGGCACCTTCGGCCGATGTCATCTTGCTCTCGACGCCCATGAGCGTTGACCGCTGCCGCTGAGCTGCGAGTAGGGGGCCAACACGCAGCTGAGTATTTGCCGTGGCTTCACCCTTCCTTATATACTATTTTCAGAAGCACTGCCTCTCCAAGTCATGGCCCATGGGCGTCAACCAGGCGATTACACGTACACTCTATCGAGTGTGGGTGCTCCGGTGAGAATTGGTTTCCCATATCGAAAGAGGCGATACACGACGGCGTTCATCTCCCTTCCATTTCCGGTATGTGGTGTCCCTTGTAAATTGCTTTGCTAACACCGCTTTTTCAGAGTTGACGGACACGAGGAATCCTTCAATTCTCTAATTCCCGTGTGGGTCCAGAATCACAACTGACTCCACCGCTATGTTCCAGTGACCTCAAACGAGGAGACTACTTGGCTGAAAGCTTTACTAGTGGGATGAGGTGTTGCTGACCACTTGATATAGCCCGCACTACCCATCCAGTCAATCAGTGCAACCCAGGTTTCTGAGTCTGGACCAAGTTCCAAGATTTTTGGCACAAGATGAATAGCCTGGAAAGGTTTTTCCAGGGACCCTTCACCCAACATAGACAAATGACTACATAGCAATGTCAATTGCTGTGTTGCTTTATAAGCATCAAACTCAAATTGCACTGTCAGTTTGAAACCATCCTGCAGTATATTTGACTATTGTAAGGGCAACCCCGGAGGCCTGAGATCAAGGTCCTAGCAGGGGAGGATCCAAAGCGTGAACATTGGTAAGCGAATACAAATGAAGCTGACCTAGCAGGGGAGGATCCAAAGAGAAGAAACTCTAAGGGTCCGCCTGCTAGGTAGCTGACTATATACTGCTTGTCCGTAGCTGCCGCTGTCGGGCACAGAAGGCTTGGGCGGCGTCGCAGGCGAGGTCCCAGGGCGACCGTCGGGAGGGCGTTGACGGATCGGTGATTGTGCGGGCGAGATGGAGGGCCGGACCGGAGACGGAACCGGAGTCGGACCGGAATCGGAGGCGTCTCCGAGGGGCCGAAAGGGAGGTTCCCCTGACATCACCCCCCTTTGAATGCGGCGTCCCGACGCATAGACCGGAACGGAATCGAGTCGAAGGTCGCGGAGGCGATGTGTCATGGCTTGCCAGGGTACTTACGATAGAACTCCGCAATTTTCTCCGGGCGAAGACGCGGTCGAAGCGGACCCATTGGTCGTGCGATGCGTCGTAGCCTTTCCATCTGACGAAGTAGTTCAGCCGTTTATACCTCACCCTTGCGTCCAGGATTTCCTCTACTTCCCACTCCGGGACTCCGTCCTCGAGGTCCGGAGGGGGCTGATCGTGAGCCGGGGCGTCCGTCGAAGGGGTCGTCCTGAGCGAGCTCGAGCTTGACGACGGGGAAGACCGGGTGGAGCTTTGAGTAGCGCGGAGGGAGGTCGAGCTTGTAGGCACCTTTGCTGATCTCCGTGACTATCTTGAACGGTCCGAGGCGACGGTGGGAGAACTTCTCCGAGGGGCGAGTCGTCCTGATGTCAGAGGCATCCAGCCAAACACGGTCGCCAACCTTAAACTCCGGAGACGGAGTGCGTCTCCGGTCGTAGTAGCGCTTGTACTCCTCTTTGGCCTTAGTGAGCGTGGCCTTGGCTTCGGCAACACCAGTGGCAATCCGGTCGCGGAACTCGTTCACGGACTCCATAGCGGAACGGACTCCGGGTTCGAAGCCCATGCGCGGGAGTCGTCCCGTGTCCGTCATGAAGGGGACTTGTTGCGTGGAGGAGTGAACGTGGTTGTTGTAGGCGAACTCCGCGGCCGGAATCAGCTCATCCCAGTCGTCCTGCTGATAGTTGGTAAAGATCCGCAGGTACTGCTCCAGCTCCTGGTTGACGCGCTCTGTTTGACCGTCTGTCTGCGGGTGGTACGCGGTGGACGTGGCAGGCTTGATGCCGATTAGACGCCAGAGTTCTCGGGTGAAGTCCGCGATGAACTGCGAGCCGCGGTCGGAGACGTACTTCTCCGGAGTCCCGTGATGGCGCCAGACATTCCGGTAGTAGAGGCGAGCCGCCCCTACTGCGTCGACCGTGGTGTGACACTCCGAGAAGTGGGCACGCTTCCCAAGGGTGTCGACGACGACCATGATCGTCGTACCCATGGGCTTCGGGAAGCTCTACGATGAAGTCGACGGAGACGGTATGCCAGCGTCCGGGGCGTTTCCGTGGGGTGCAGTTCTCCGTGGGGCAGTCTCCGGAGTGCCTTGGTGCGACAGCACAAGTCACAGGTCGCAACATACCGGCCGATATGGCGAGACATCTGAGGCCACCAGTAGTTCCGGGAGACCAACTCCAGGGTCTTGAAACGACCTGCGTGTCCGGCGACTCGGGTGTCATGGCAGAGCTCGATGATGCGTCTCCGGAGGTCCTTGTCTTTTGGTACGACGATCTTTCCTCGGAAATGGAGAAGACCGCCGGAGATGGCCCATTCGTCAGAACGTGAGGAGCGGGGGCCTCGAGCTTGACCTTGAACCTTAAGAAGTTGCCGGGCCGCTAGTGCGACGGGCTCCTCCAGGTCAGGCTCACCGG